ATATATATATATAGTAACCATGAAAAAAAGGAAGGTTCTCAGATATGTTATAAAAGAACAGCAGAGTATGTTCTCACACCTTCAGAAAAGAGGCATAGATGTCTGCATTTGAAGTTAGGAATATTCAAATTCTTCAGTGTAATAATGCATGATAAGGGAGCATTATTTAAATTAGAAACCGATCTCTTAAAATTGCAGACATATAACCACCCTGAAGCGGTCCCTGTATCTTCCTTTTCAATCTAAGAGGCTCTTTAAATATAACCTTTTTCTAATTAAATGTATAGCAACATAGCCAATATATGTGATTGTCATCCATAACAACATGCTTCCTGTCTACTGCATTTTTAAACACAAATATGAATTTTGTACAAGGAAATATTGAAATAATTCTGAATCTATGTAGTAATAGGGTTCCATTAGCTACATGTTTTGACTTGGATCTTGCAGACTCTTGATGTCAGTGAGAAAGTACTTATGGGTAAGTAGACTTGGATGCTAAATTGCCCCTTTGATCTACTCCACCCATTATTTGGTGTCTTTTTTTAAATAAAAAAAAAGTTTTAGACTGCAATCCTATGGGCATTTGCCTACAAGTAAGTCCTACTGTATTTAATGGAGAGAAGCTCACAGTCCAAGCAATCCGACACTTATAAAATGGAATGTGAATGGTGTGATACAACTTTCAAGAAAAGGTTATTTGAGAAATGGCTGTTCTTTACACCAAAGTGAGGTGGGAAAGGAGAATTTGTATCTGCTTTATGACATTACTTCAACAGGGCTGAAATCTAAACATGATTGCAAACATCATCCTATGAATGCTAACTCAAAAGTAAATACAGCTGATTGGGACTTATACCAAGTTACCTTGTATAGAATTCTAGCCTTGCTGGAAATTAAGATTCGTGGGATTAAATTTGGGTTAATTCTGAGGAAATAAGCAGGAGAATGAGCTGAAAATATCTCTTTTTGAGATGTTTTGGCAATTCCAAATCTTTTTATTTCTCTTTCCATATTTAATTGAACTACAACATTGCCATTAAAAATTCAGATTACAGTTTTAGTTATGAGATTCCAGAGGTTTTGTTTGCTTGTTTTCTTGTTACCCAAGTATAATTTGTGAGTAAAACAGAATATATGAAGCTCATTTCTCATTCCCCGTTCTACTTAAATTATTCTGGTGCACAAAATCCACTGGGTTGACTCCAGATCATGCTTACATTGTGAGTTTGAAATGCATGTATGTATTATCTGACTTCCTTTCCATGCAAATATATTTTATTAATAAAATAAAGGTATTTTATGCACAGGAACAAAAACCAACCTATTTTCATGTAGATACCTTTTTCCCTACTTAACAAAGTAATTATATAACTATATCTGTGTATGCATTTCCGGTGAGATTTCAAATTGAGATGTTCCTATTTTGTGATAGAATTTTTTAATGTATATTTTTGTATCTTGTAAGTGAAAAGGACATCTTATGATAATTGGAAAAATTAGGAAGCAGGTCACATTATACGAAAGCCAGCCATCAAGCTGCTAAAATGCAAATGTCACCTTTTTCTCTTTTGAAAAAAGCATATAAAATTATCTCTCATGTTTTAACAGAATGGCTGGAAATTGCTCACTATCTCTGATTCCTTGAAGGTGCTACACAGTATTCTAATGCAGTAGCAATCTGCACAGTTTTAAAATAGAAAAAAGGATTTGGGGTGATCTAAACTTACTTTGACCGTGGGTGGAACTTCTAAAGCATTTTGGAACTTCTAAAGATTTTGATATATCTAAAGTGTGCTTCCCTTAGATATACCAAAATTATAAACTCCAGCATACTTGACCAGCTTGGGCATAAAGGTAGGGAGGTGTTATCAATTGCATCTGATAGTCCTAAAGTGACAGACTCATTCTGTGAAAGAGAAGAGTAGCCTTTCATATCCTACAGAAACATAAAGTAGCTTTGGACCATGACTTTTATTGGAGAGACTTAATCAAGTCATTTATTCTCAGCATAAGAGAACACTGGGCTATTCTGAAGCAAAACCATTTTCAGTAGCACCAAAAGGACAATTATAATATCTCTGCTGTATCATCAAAATCAGGCAATACCTTGATTAATATCAACTAAGAATTCAAAAATTTGTGGGTAAGTTGTCAGAATCCCTGGATCTCTGAGATGTTACAGCATGCAGAGAGGAAGGGGGGTGGGATGAAGTAGAGAAAAGGCATAAACTTAAACGGATTAGTGTCTATCCCTAGGTGTTGTCATGCAGGCTTTGGGTTACATTTAGAACTATTGGGAGAGCAGTCAGCAATCAAATTCACTTTGTGTCAAAATTTCTACCTTGCTTCAAATAAAGCAGTGAGTCAGACCAAGAATATGAGAACAAACTCACCCAGCTGTTGGGTCTTTTGAACAGGTAAACAAGATCATGTAAGGTTTCCTAA